GTTTTCAAAACTTCGTATTACGCAATGACTAGCGGGGTCAGGGCATAATAAGATATTAAGAGAAATAGAGGGTGAAAGATTTTTTGTTATTCTGTTCTTCTTTTTTTTTTCGAACAGTATATATATATATATATATCAAACAAAAAGGTAAAACTACTGTACAATTCTCGAAGTCTTTCAACCTTATAGAAATAAGTAAATTACTGGAAATTTGGCAAAAATGGGGATCCAAAGATAAAGTCTATTTCATTATCTTTCAGCATATGATTTATGTCGCACAATCTACAGTACAACGCCAAAAGTGATTCATCATTTCCCCTTTTACCATATAATTTAAGAAAAGTTAGTTTTTGTTTTAAAAAAATATTGTGAGTTCAATTTTATTCCAGATTAGCAAAATTTGATAATTAACCACAGAGTATAAGATTTTAAATTATAAAATCACAATTTCTAACTTCAAAACACTACGATTTCATGACACTTTTCGTTGTAAAATTTAACTTTTTCATTTGATACTTGATATCGCTGAAATGCATGCTGATAAGATTATTTTCAAATTATGCGAAGAAAGTACAATGAATTCGGAATTTACTGATACTCGCTCATATCTGCAACTCACAATAGGTTTATTAATTGTTCCTCAAATTTCTCAATCACATTTCTGCTAAAAAAAAAAAATGCACATCTAACTTGGAAGAGCGCCTAAATGGAACCACACATGCATGTATCCAGTAATTAGAGCGTTTGCTTTAGAGTCAAGGAGTAAGGAGTCGATCCTTAGGTCGCGGGTTCGAATCCCACTGCGGGACGTGGAGACCGGTCCTTCGGATGAGACCATTAAACTGAGGTCCCGTGTCGCAGTAAGTGCTTGCCAGAAAAAAAAGATCCCTCACTGCACAATGGCCCTGAGTGCTGAGTATAGATGTAAAATTTGCAGCCCACCAATGGCAATGGTGGCGCCTCATTATGAGTGAAAAATTCCCGAGAGGGACGTTTTAATTAAAACAAACAACAATCAAACAAAATCATTCATGCCACCGTCTATCAGTACTCACAGTACTTTGATTGTATTATTTCAAATGCAAGCGTGCAAATTTCTTAGTTTGATCACTATGGCTACAGGCATCTATACAACTTCATTCGATTTTTTTTTTTCTCAGGTAAAATAGAGCAAGATTATCATTCGGAAAACGCGCCTGTCAATGATCCACCATCAGATTGTTCAAGTGTCCGATTTAAATGTCTCCTCCCTTTGATTTAAATAAACGAAACTCAAAATAGGTTCGGTACGACTTTTCCGGATTTGGGGTATCTATAGGCATTTAAAAATCTTCATTTGTTTCAAATCCATGCTGATTTAGGTGATGTTTTAACGTAATTTTAATTAGAAATATCCACTTGTGTTTAACTATTACCAAAAAAGAACAATGTGGTAATATCTTCTAAAGTAAAACGGCCCATTAAGTATTTTTTAAGTGCACATGTCCTTTCTCAGCCACTTTTAAAAAATTATTCCACACAGAATCTACACGTTATTTCGATCCAAACGAAAAGGAAAATTTGCAATTATGGAAAATATCCTATATTGGATAAATTCCTGAAAACCTGTTTGCTTTCCCTGCTTTTTGTGTCCCCTTCAAAATAGTAAAGCCAATGGGTTCGCGGATGCAGCATACATTATGAAATTCGCACTCCCCCTCCCCCCATTTTCCACTCTTCTCGTGCAAACTCAATCAAGTCCATTTTTTAGGGTTTTTTTTAAATTTCATCTTAAATCCCTATCGCTGACGACTGCTGCACATCTCTTTCACTTCGTTTTTTATGTCGTATTTCGATAAGAAAATAAAAATCCGTAACATCAAAGTCCATCGAAAAACTGTCTGTATCGCCTGTATGTGTATCTAGTTTAACTAAGATTTTAAGACCCCTGAAATAAATTAGGATCAATCTCCATCTACGACAAGGTTAAATCGTCCACCTTATCAATTAAGACTGACTTCAAGATTGTTACGTCTACCCCGTTGGCAAAACTAATCTGACTAAATCTTATGTTGTCTGTGGAAATATATATACTGCGGGTATATCTCCCCGTCGAGGCCTCATCTACAGAGAGAACAAACGAACTCTGGCGGAAGTTTGGATGCTGCACAGCTATGAAGTGGGCGGTGCCTTTTTTGATTGATCGTGTCACAAATCATTTAGAGAACTCGACAGGTTCTGTATCGAAGATACACATTTGGGGGTTGAGACTCTAGCTCGTGCTACGCACTCGTCCACCCCCAAATTTGTATCTACGATACAGTACCTGTCTCGTTCTCTAAATAATACAATCTACCATGGAATTTGGACTCTTTATAGTGAGGCCAACTTTAAAATAATGTTTGCTTGCCCTCTCCCGACTCAGAATGAAAAAAATCGGGTCGGTAGGTAGGTGAGAAATTTTTTTCCAAGAAAGTTTCAAAATCAATGCTGAATTTTCAAAAGAAGATGGGCGTGTTTGGCGTGTGATCTGCAGGAATTATGCGTACGAAACATTTATAGTTCAAGTGTCCACGATTTGGTTGGCTGGCCACAGCTGGACAGGCTTTACAAAGCTACGCACATAGGAAAATGTTATATTTAGTTTGAAGTAACATGTCAAATTGTAATATTTAGGTCCGCTTATCTTAATAATCAAACTTTCAGATAGTAATGCTTCACATAAATAATAAACACCTACAAGATGATAAGGGTATAATTAAATGCAATTACAAGTACAGTCATGTGTATTTTAAAGTATTAGTAGGTTGGAAGAATTGCTTTCGCTCTTGATGCAACAGAACCAGAATATATCCATTTTAAAATAAATCAGTACAAAAAAATTAAACCGACAAATGAATTGATTACTTGCATTAAAAAAAAAATGTTAACACTCCATGCGAGGATCGAACCAAAAAGTTTTCGACTCCATTTGCACTGGACGGGTAACGCATATTACTGAGCTATCACGACTACACATACAAGTTGGTTTTTAAAACGACAATGAAGCACCGCATATACACATTGGAATTTTTTTTTGGAAAAAGTTCATTTTTTATGGTCTCTGGGTATTTTCTCCATTTTTTACAAATGATTATTTGTTTCTTTGAATTTTACAAATAACGTTCGAAAATCATGGAGAGATGACCCAGAGATAGCAAATTTTTAGAAAAACGTGTTTAAAAATGTGACATTTTGTACCAAATGAATCATCTAGCCTATTTTCAAGTTAGTTTTTAGCAAATCAAAATACAATGTCGGGAAAATATTTCCCTTTCCTATTTCACAGGCACCCAAAGGATCAAAAGAATGCTAAAATTTCGTGTGATAGATCAATGAAATTTTCACTTTTCAAGTACGCCCAGATTCCTGCCGAATGCCAATCAAAAGCGCCCTCGTTCTTTATTTTCATGAATGCTTTAAAAAATAATTGCTTGCTGGAGGTTTAAAAATGTTTCGAGTCGGGACATTTATAGCCAGTCGGTCGGGAGAGGGCAACCAAACAATTTTTTAAAGATGGCCTGAGCAGTGTTTAGAACTTCCTTAATTTAATCCTCTGTTGACTTTGAATTTGACGCCTTGTCAATGCGCTGGTAAGTTTTAATGCAGGAAGTTTTTAAAAAATGATATATCGATCGAACCTAGATTGAGGTCCAAGGAATTTATACATTTTGAAAAATCATGCAAAAAAGTGAGGTCCTTGGTACAGCATACCGTGGGACAGACAATAATTAAAGATTCTCTTGATTGCCAATCTATTATTGATGAAGTAAACTTTCCTATCAGAAGAGGAAAGAATTAAATTGAAACATATATATGTAGCATCAACAGTAAGTTCTTATACGCAGACTTTCACATCAAAGTTTTTGCTCCTTATTTAAGACATTTAAATAATTATACTGGGGGAAGAGGATCGATAATTCTGTTGCATTTTTTTTAAATGTCTATTTTCCCATCGCTTCAGTCAAATTTGGTAAACCCACCTATATCCACATAATATATGTTCATGTATGTCCTTACGAAACTCAGTTTTTCTATGTGGACACTGGCGTACGTGAATTTTTATGGTTCAGGAAAAAAAAACAATAACACTTGTACTTTGTAATTTTTTTAATCGATAAATATTTTTAGAACCACACCCATATAGAATGATAGAAAAAAGTTCTAGTTTACGGCTTGGGGTAATTTAATCAATTGTTGAGTGGAGTGGAGTGGAATCACGGAGCAAAGTCTCTTTCATTTTATACTCAATATAATATTTTTATCAATGCATACTGTGAAATGATCCAGAAAATTTCAATAATCACTATAACAGGTATATAATTCCTCCTCTTGACTAACCAATTCAAAGGTTTCAAACGCTAAATTCTGGGGGGGGGGGGGGGGGACAGGTTACCACTCTCAGTCTGTAACCTACCAAATGAATTCAAACAAACGCCAAGATTTGATATAGTAACGTTTTGCTCTACGATGGTTGTTAATTCATGTTGTTGCAAAAACTGTTTTACAGGTCTTTTAAGATAGTGGTATATTTTATATTTGACTGGGTTTTTTTTTAACTTCAAATAATCTAATAATTATGAAAATGAATTAAAAACGAGATTAGAGCAAATACAGTTTTTTCGATGATGATTATTAATTTCCAGAATTTCATGGAACATGTATTTAAGAAAATCTATTTGTTTTAAAATTGACATTTATAGAAATAGAAAATAGATTTTTGGATACTCTTTAACCTTAGTGTCTTTGTGCTTGCACAATTTTGCAAAATGTGTTATCTTTCAAGTAGTAAATCAAACAAATATACCAAAGTCCATTAAGAAGATATCTCAATATTGTATTTCTCTGAAAAATGTATTAAAAAAAAAAATTTGCTTATGCCGACAAAAAATTTTCCTGACTTCCTTATTGTTAACTCCACTCAGTGACTTTAACACTCCTCTCCGTAAATTACTCGAACCATAGTCTACCAGGTAAAGCTGTCGAAATGGCGGACAAGACAGAAGAAATAAAAAGTCCCACTGAACCTCAGTATTTCCGAGAGGATTCTGGAGTAACAGACGTAATACTCATGGTCGAAGACAAAGAAATCCATGTGACAAAAGTAATTCTCATGCTTTCCTCTCCAGTTTTCCGAGCTATGTTTACTGCTGACTTCAAAGAAAAAAGCGAAAGCACTGTTTCATTTCCAGGAAAAACATATGAAGATTTTGTACTGTTTCTACGAAGTTTTTATCCAGGAGAACATTTGGAGCTAAACGGTTTGGATATATAATTTTGTTGTTGTTGTTGAATGATTCAGGTCACCTGATCTATCCATTTTTTTATCGTCATTCATCTTGAGACGTGCGTTTCGCATCGATTTTAAACTTTGGAACATCTTTTTAAAATCTTTTTAAAAAGGAGTAAATTAATTTCAATTTGTAGTATTTGTGACGTTTGGGTAAAGTTCAGCAAAAATTTTGATTTTAAAGGTTTCTGGCTTTCTTCGAAGATAGGGGTGAGGCGAAATCCATCAAAATGTGTGCCCTCTTCAAAACACTTTACGTCGATATCAACGCAAATTGTAAAAACAGACTTTTTAGGATTATTACATTTGCGTTAATATATTTTGCGTCGAGATCACCGTAAAATGTAATAACGCAAAATGTAATAACACGATTTCTGGATTTTAACATTTTGCGTTGTTACATTTTGCGTCGAAATTAAGCAAAATGCAACCAGGCAAAATGTAATAACACACTTTTTGGTCAGTCAGGTTGAGAATAATTTTCAATTTAGTAGTGAATGAAGAAAATAAACGGAAAGAAAATAAAGGAAAAAATAAACATATTCTAATTCTTACATTAGATCTTATTTCATCATATATTGATTTCATTAGCCATTTAAAATCACTTGATATTCAAATCATAGGTGTTGCAAATTATAAACGTGCGTGCGCATATGTGTGGGTGGGTGGGGTTGGGGTCATTTCGTTGATCAGTGTATCAGTTTGCTGTTGCTTTTTGATAGGCACATGCATGAAATTTAGAAAAGAAATCTATTTATTTTTACTTACAGGTGTAAATATAGCGGGGAAGGGGTTTCTTGACAATTAAGATTTCATACTGTTATACAAATCACGTGCATTGCAGATCAGCTAATATAAAAATCTCTCTCTCTCTCTCTCTCTCTCTCTCTCTCTCTCTCTCTCTCTCCAATAATAAAATGAATAGTTTCTGCACGCGCACAAAAATACAATGATCAACATACAAGTAACCCCCACCCCGACCTCGTTCTTTCTTGCACAGACACTTACACATATACTTCTAATTTGCTAAGCAATGTACGCATCCACTTCGTACATGCATACCAAGTGCTTTTAATAGATCCATGGTCAATCTTTGGTAATTAAGAATGTCAGTGATAGAGATATAATACAGACTGATTTATAAATAGACATGTCAATCAAAGTTAAGTTAATGTTTTATAAGTATTCAATAAAAATGTTAGGAATGAAATGAAAAAAATATACAATTAGTTTTAGTAATATCCATAAAAGCCGTAACGTTTGCCTCATAGGCAAAGGTCTGTCTGTCTATATTAAGTAAAGCTAGTTTCCCCATTGTTATATGTTTAAATCAATTTGTGATGTTTTGCGTTGTACACAATACAAAAAAATAATTATATTTTGTTTTATTACATTTTGTTTTACTACATTTTGCATTGTCCTCAACGCAAAAAATTAAGTAACGCAAAATGCATGGAACAACCAAAAAGTAAATTATTACATTTTGCATTAATCCCAACGCAAAATGTAATAATCCAAAAATCGTGTTATTACATTTTGTGTTATTACATTCTGCGTTGATCTGGACGAAAAATATGGTAAAGCAAAATATAATAATCCCAGTTTATTACAGTTTGCATTATTATTACATTTTGCGTTGTAACAATGCGCTCTATCAAAATTGTAAAAATTCGTCATCACTCTATTCAGTGATCAGATCCAAGGATGAGAACTATACGGTCAAATATACATTTTAACAACATTACATCTTTGAAAAACTTCTATACTCATGGACATGAAGCAGACAATCAAAGAGCGGAGTTAAATTGCGATATACATGCATTGCTGCTACCGTAAGCCTAAGGTAAAATACTTCCATGATTTTTATGAGCAATTTGATCTGTAACGTCTGCTACAGACTTTTTAAAAAAGACAGTGACTTTACTCCTTATCTTCTAGTATTATTGACCGTCACGGTAGCTCGGTCGGTAGAGCGCTCGCTCCGGGATCGGAAGGTCGTAAGTTCGCATCTCGGCCGCGACTGACATATCTAAGTCGATAAAAAATAGGTAGCAACTGTTCCATGCTCTCGGCACTTTGAAGTGAAAGTTGCGGGTCCTTCGGATGAGACCTTAAAAACCGAGTCCCCGTGTCACGGCAGGCGTTGGCATAATTAAGATCCCTCACTGCTCAATGGTCCTGTATGCCGAGTAAAGTTCAAAATTTGAAGCCCTTCACGTCTCTATATGAGTGAAAAATTCTCGAATGGGACGTAAAACAGCATTCAATCAATCTAGAATTATTGAGCATTATCAATACATACGTGAATATAAAGTCATCAAGTTATAAAATTTTTGATAGGTTATTCTAGTGAAATGGTCCTTATGGGACTGAGTTTGTTACATTATCAAGAGAGACACATGGTATCCAGGAGACCTTCAAGGCCAAAGGGCCTCTTTTATGTTACGACAGTTTACTACAGTTGACAAGAAAATAACTTGTGTTGTATAAAAAATTACTGTCAATCTCAAAACAATCTTGTCTTCTTATATTATCATATTGTCAATATAAAATTTAGAAGATCTTTTGCATTTAAAACCCAATTGTGTTCTGCATTGAACTAACAGATGTTTAATTAATAGTTTTTGTTTTATTAAATGCATATGACTTAGAACTTTCATAGATGTATATAGATGATATTCAATGTTTTGTAGTTGGATATGGAATTTATTTCACAAGTGGGACAGGATTTTTTGATACCAGTATTTTCACGAGTGCAAAGTACGAGTGAAAAAAATATTTTTGAAAAATCCTGTCTCACGAGTGAAATAAATTCCATATCCAACTACAAAACATTGAATTTTCTGTTTATTACATTTTCTTTTGATTTCCCTTTTTACACTTAAGTCTTCAATACATTTAAATACATTTAAAAAGTTAAACTAAAAGTAAAGAAAATTGCTTCGGTATAAGCGTGAATTCATTATAAATGTGCAGTTTGCAGCTTGTTTTAAATCTGACTGATATTTGTTGTAGTTTCCGTAATAGAGAGAATCCTACCTCTGGCAAGAGAGTATGGCATGGATGCCTTGATGAAAAGTTTCCATGAGAGGCTGTTGGTAGATGCAGATTCTCAAACAAAAGACGTTTTCTTCCATTTAAAATGTTTCTATGTCGCTGCAGTGTACAATTTTGATGAGCTCTACAATAGAATGCTGGAGAATCTGAAGTCCGTTGCTGTCAATACCTATAAGGACCGAGAAAGTTTCAAAATGCTTCCACCAGAGGACAGGGCATGGCTATATGAAAAACGTTGTGAATTTGTTGAAAAACATAATTCGAATCTCATAAACAAAATGTCAAGAATTAAGGAGAACTTGGACTCATTTGAAATCTGGTGTGAAAAATGTGGCAAATGCATGTACATTTCCAGAAAAGATAAAATTTGGATTTGGGGATGAAGGGTGTGCATTTTGAACTATACTAATATATATATAATCTTATAATTATGAAAATGAATTAAAAACGAGATTTAAGCAAATACATTTTTTTCGTTGCATATCTATAAATTCGGAATCTAATTTATCTAAGTCTAAATCTTAATCTGAATCCGAATCTAAAGGGAACCTCGACATATGAACAAAAATAAACACTATTTATTGGTGAATTCTTTTTGATGTTTCTAAATGTCAAATCAAAAAAAAAAAAGATAAAAGTTTTCTCAATAGAAAAGTTTTTGCAAAATGCACAGACTGTCATCTTATAAATAAGCATAACTGGACTACCAAAATTTGAAGACCTGGCTCCGGGGCCATAAAACTTAGATGAGCTAACTTTTGATCTCAGTCTCACTTTTACAAAAGAAATATATAGTGGAAAAGTGAGACCGAGATCAAAAGTGAGATCGTCTAAGTTTTATGGCCTCGGAGCCTGGTCTCCAAAATTTCATAGATGAAAAACAGCTTTTTTTTACAGATCAGTGTACTTGAATGTTGAATAAAATTAAATTTTAACAAAGAAAGTTCGTGTAAAACTAGTCAAATGACATTTTTATATTATGAAAAAATATTTTAAGTTCCATTTTACATTGAAGAAGTAGTTTTCTGTGTCTAGTCTTTTTCGTAAGGAAAGGGTTAGTGTAGAAAAGTTGTACGTTTTGATGCTGTTGATTTTCGGAAGATTCTTTCATTTCAAATTTTCCTTTAAGTTTTGCAAAACTTCTCATTTGATTTACTTTGCTTTTAAAACACAGCACAGAACGTCTGGAAGCACAGAACGTCTGGAATTTCTCTTTCAGATGAGTAACTGTTTATCTTTTTGTGAGGAGAAAAGACAAGGGCTCGGTACAATACTTACTGGACCCTGCAATATAATTTTGTTTGTAATTCTATATAGGTACGATAAATCAAAGTCACTCACGTTAATGGGCAAGTCAATAGTACATGTATTAAAAATTGAAATCTGATTCTGTAGAAATTCTTCCTAGTGAAATGGAACAATGAGTTTAAGGTTAATTTTAAAAAAAAAATCAAATTTAGGGTGGTTTTGAAGAATTCCATCCTTAAAAAGTGAATTGTGAGTATTTATCAAATGTACATGTATATCATTTCATGCTATTTTACTTTCAAACTTGATGATGTAAAAGTTCATGTCATACCATTTGCCATACACTAAAATTAGTTTAACAAGTATTGTTAAGTTGCTTTTCATCGTGTAAATTTATAACGTTCTGTCCATTATCTCATAAGTCGATGAGTGGTGATTATTTGTTTATGAATTATTTACACTGCTAAAGGAAGTAAGCCATTTGTTGTCAACACTTTTCTTTCTTGGGGTTCTCTGTATGAATAAAAAACATTATGCAAGTCGGAAATGATAAAACAGATGTTTTGTGTGTGTGTGTGTGTGTGTAAAATGTTTTTCTAGCTGGTGATACATACTTCAGACTGGAACATTTCATTACTTGAACTTGAACTTGATTCTAGATTTGGTACACATCGTTTCACTGTGATTTAGACATTAGTACCAGTAACCTTTCCTTTTCGTGATTCAGTAATTTTTGCTAATAATTTATATCAAGATTGATTTAGCATTTTTGATATTGCTTTACAAAGGATATATTTGTAATCATATTTGTAATATATGTGAATTTGTAATGTAACATTCATTTTATTTGAAAAGCTCTATCTCTTGTACAAATCTACAGCAATTATGATGTACATTATCTGGTTAACCTTTTAAAAAAAAGCTGCGAGTCAGCCACTGGAATAGAGAAAGTTTTTTTCTTGTTTTGTGATGGTATATGATTTGTTTTATCCATCATGTTGTGTTCCTTAAAAGTCATTGTAATGCATGACTGGGGGAGGAGGGGTGCACACTGCAGGCATATTTAAATCAATTTCTAAGTTTAAGCATCCATTTTAGTGTTATTAGGAAAGAAAAGAATTTCTTCCAAAATAAAGTTATGAAAGCCATGGATTTCATCTCTCTCACTCTCTCTTACTGAGGGAGAGGAGGGGCTGTCTATAAATCCACACAGTTTTTCACACGTGAATCTCTCAGCTATGGCAGTTCTACTGTGGTCAATTTCTCACCTGTGGACGCGGTTCACGTGCACAAGCGGCACTTACACGTTATGTAAATTACGAGAATTTACTGTTTTACAGTGGTCTCTTGATTTTCATTTTTTGGGACCTTTGTAGCAAATGGATTTCAGTAAAACACGCTTATAACAAAGTCCTGGGACGAACGATATTTTGGTTCGTTATAAACGTATTTCGTTAAATGCGTTTAGTTTATAATATATTTTAAAGCCGGGAGGAATGAAAATAACTTTGTTGTAAGCATCAGTTCATTATAAGCGTGTTCGCTATAAGCGTGTTTTACTGTATTGTGTGCATTCCGACCCGTTTATGTCTTATGCAAGGTATTGATCAAGGGAGTCTTGCATCAGGCATCCAGAAGAATCACACAAATCTGTGACCGCAACGGCGATCGAGAGTATATATATCAAGTGTTAAATGTGCTCTACATATAAACTTCTCATCTTCTATAAGAAGCACTGAAATATGTTCATAGTATCATATAAAACAGTACAAATTTCCCACTTAGAACAATCTATGTCTTTAATTTTTCGTCGACACCTACAAAGAACAATGCAGTCTATGAACAGATTGAGATACTAGTAGTGTCTTTATTCAGAGATCGAGTGTACAAGTGAAGACGCACGTCCTCTGGTTGGAGCAAATAGTATGAGTTTCATGTTAATCTTTTTTCCCAGAATACCAAATTACGCAAGAGCACATGCAGTTTCATCCCAACATAGTCAGTCCGCGGGCTGACTAATAATCAGGAGGAATAAGTATTCCCTGACCACACGCCGTGAGCCCTTTATTGTTATCTGGTAAACGAAGAAATTCACCTTGTACAATATATTATGTATCTTGTAAAACTTTATCAATTTAATTGATATTGATCTTTAAATTATCTATTATTTATATCTACATTATCTTGTCATTATGTCAAGCATGTCAAGATTCAATATTAAACATTTTGTGATTACAGTCCAGAATGAGTAACTCCCTCTTCCCAGTGCTTTTTTTGTTGCTTTTTCTAAATGTTTGTTGTGTTTGTGGACTACTTAATGGGAACCGTCTACCAAACACTCTACCTCCTTCTGCTTCTACACAGAAACTCTACTTCAGCTTTTGACCCAAGAATTTTTGGAACTCGAAAAGGCATCCCGTACACTTATTCAAAAGGTGACTGTCCTGGAGAGTAGAAACTTAAATCTAGAACGAGAGCTGCAAGAACAAAAGAGGACGATTTCTGTATTACAACAAGAAAATAACAACTTTAAACACAATTTTTCAGCAGAGCACTGATATCGGATCATTGACGGAAAATGTCATTTCTGTCGCTTTGTTGTGAGAATAGAGAACAAAACCTATCTAGAATAGAGGAAAAAATGGATCGAATTGAATCGTCAATATTGCAGCAAATGAAATATAATAAACTAATCCAGAAAGGGGAAATAGCAAACATGTCGGATATGGTTGACAAACTTAAAACTCAAAACAGATATATACATTTCGTTAACACTTTTCGATATTCAATCAAATATTGTAGGTCTGAATAGTTCTTTGTTTAATGCCTTTTCGGATTTAACTGGAAATATTTCTTTTCAATTAAATACCATAAAAAGAAATGTAACGGGTAAGTTACACTGTGCGCATAACTTATGAGATGTTAATTCATTTTAAAATAATTCATTTGTTTTGACGTTTCCCCTTTCCTGATATAGTAAGATTAATAATTTTATAGATCATTTAAATGAAACGTGTAACCATACTTGGTTGAAAATCAAAAGTTCGGTCATTTTCATATTAATTTTTTATAGAATATGTCAATAGTTCTCTTTCACAAACAAATGTGATGGTTGCAAAAATTCAGAAAGACGAACTTGGATTTTTGTCCTCTCTTCGGGCTCTGAATGGATCCTATCAAAACTTTGGTAAGTACATATGTACAGAATATGTTTATTTATTTCAGTTTAATGTTACTCGTGCACACCACAAAGGAAAGGTTTTTTATATAACTGCTCTTTAAGTGCAGATATCTTATTACATGTACTTATATTTCTTTGTCTAAAGAGTACATATTGTCATCATTATTTGTAACTATCATGTAAATAGGATCAGCTATACCATTATTATAATAAAGGTGTTTTTTCCAGCAAACTCTGAACTCTGAAATGTTTATATCTTGATCGAACACCCAACAAATTACTTTGTTAAATATCTACACAAAATTAAGTATTTTGAAGTTGATATTTGAAGTTTGAAGATGAGTTCCTCATTGATATGTTCAATATCTGTCCATCTAACAGGTCTTCAAACAATCTGTTTGAATTTCCATGCTCACTAACTGTACATCTGTAGATGATCTGTTCTTATATTCTGAAGAAAAAGAATTTATTTTTTAAAGATTTAATTCTTAATAATAAAAAGAGAACTTTTGGTTGCTTTCAATTCGTCATTTTGATATATCGACCACCTTTTATAAATTAACAGCTGTAGTTATCTTCATTCAAATTTCGACTTAAATCGTATATCCATCGTATATGTTTTATTCTTTGGGTTGGATTTTTATTGTTATTAATTGGTGGATGCTGAATGTGCTTCCAAATAAGGCGGTCTATTGTATGCATGCACGCACCTACCAGACCATGAACAAATAGTGGATGATTTTGCGTCCATCTCTTGTATACAGGGACAAAGCCTGGTGATACTAGAGCACTACAATGCTTTTTAACACAAAAGGCTTAAATTAGGTTTTGTGACTTTTACATGCAGTAAGAAAAAAAACAAAAAACGCCAAAATTTCATGACGTTCTTAAGACTGAAACTACTACATGACAACGCTTTCCTACTGATACACATGTAACACACATTTGTCTGCTTTTGACTAAGATATACG